TGGGTGCTGGCAGCTCTGCAAGGGGAGCCAGGAGGCCGACGCGCTGGCCGGGGTGTGGAGGGACAGGGGCCGGGACCTGCTTCCCCCCGCTGCTTACCTGCGATACCGTGATGCTGCATTTCTTTGCCAGCTCTTCTTTGGCTTCTTCACTGGGGTAGGGGTTGCTGAGGTGGGAGTAAAAATACTCGTTCAAGATTTCTGTGGCTTGTTTACTGAAGTTACGCCTTTTCCGCCTGAAAGGAGAAAAGAAAACCCCAGCTGTTCTTCCAGAGGCAAACAGGTCTCTGGCAGGGCCAGCCGGAGGGGAAGCAACCCCTGTTTCACATGCTGGTGCCACAGCAGGCAGCAACGTGGCTGCACCACGCCCACGCTCCTACATCCAGCCCTGCAAGGGTCTGGACTCTGCTTCTGGCCTCGCGCCGCCCACCTCCACCCGGGGTTTGATCCTGCGGTGCACCAGCCACGCCGCGTGCTGCGGCGGAAAACACGATGAAGCCAAAGGTGCTGCTCTGGCGCAGCACCTCGGCACCCGAGTACGCAACCTGGCCCGAACCTCCCGGCTGTTAAATGGCTTTGTGCTGGCAGCAGCCTAACAAACCTGTCCCCGTTAGCAGCAGGCCAGCTGGGGCTTCTGCACAGGCGTCTGGGGTGAGCATGGCGGAGCGGGACGGGGCGGCCTCACTGCCGCGTCCTTACATCGCACTCATTGAGCTAATTGGCTTCCGTGAGCAAGTGGCTTTCGGGGCTTTGGGAGGGAGACCCATCTGTGCACCCTCCTGCCGCGGGGCCCAGGCCCTCGCGCCACCTGGGACGGGTACCGAGGTGTGCAGCCTCGCAGCCTCGCCAGAAAGCGAAGCCTTTCCGAGCGCAGCGCCCGGCACGTGCTGCGGCCAGCCCGGCAGCGAGGCAGCGCCGGCCGGGAGCAGCGCAGCCCCCCCCGGGTTACAGCACGGCATCTGCACGGCCGCCCTGCCTTCCCCCCGAGCCGGCGTCGGGGCTCTGCCTCCCCCCAGAACATTCCCTCAAAAGCACTGGTTAAACATTTCCTTCAGAGCTCCCTTCCCCTCAGGGCTGGTTGCAATCAAACTGCCTGCGCCCGAGGCCAGCAGGCAGCCGAGCAGCAATCCCCAGCGCTCTCTTCCAGCAGGATCACGATGCTGCTAACTACGCCGTATCCTGGAGCAGGCAGACTCTCTCCCTAGAGCTATGTTTATCTCATTACTGCGCTTCCGCTCATTTTGCCTTATTTACCTTCCTCCTTTTTAAAGAAATCACTTTAAAATGTGCATCTGCAAGCTTTACCTTTTGCAGTTACTGGAGCTCTCCATAGACATTTCCTCCAACTGTTTGTAATTACCCTAATTTGCCACACCTGCCAGTGACCTCCTTGTTAATAAAATTATTTTGCTCTTGTTTAGCTCCTCACAGCTTTCAGGTGTGAAGCATGAGCTAGCTGCTGCAGGCAGGCTCTGCGTGGTGCCTGCTGCTCCTCCCTGCTCCGCCGGGCTCAGCTCCGGCTCTGCCGGGCTCTGCCAGCTGCCGGGGTCCTGCTCTGCGGATGGGAGCCCTGAGAAAAGGGCTTGGGATCGATATCCCACCTCATCAGGGCTTCCAAACAAATCTGGCTGTGCCTATAAACCCCCTCCTGATCCACCTCTGCCCGCTTCCTCGCAGCCTGCGGCAAGCACAGCCCGCTTTGGAGCCCGGGGGGCTGCGGGGCCGGGCGCTGAGCTCCGGCAGCACCATGGGTGTGCGAGGGACGCGTGTGCTGGCTGCGAGCGGTTTGGGAGGTGCTGCCTCCTCCCGTGCCCCAGCCACA